CTGCATCCAAAATGCTCAGCACTTTCACTTCTCTTCAAAACTGTGAGGCAGCATGCTGCACCACTGGAGCCCTATTTTCTCCTCAACCAAGCTGGGAGACACAGTGCTCTTCTTGCTCAGAGTCCCTTGTCCAGTACTACTAGCTCTCTAAGGTCTTGGAGGGAAAATGCTGTTCATAGTGTACTTCCACTGCTGTGCATGGAAGAGGAAAATCCCAGAGCCACCCTCTATGCTGCCACAGTTGATTCACCCTGAAGTATGGAGGCTGACAGCACTTCTGCTTTCCACTCAGCTGCTCCCAAAGTTGTGCCTTTTGCTTTGAAATTCTATCAACCTATATTGGTATTCTTTTGTCTAAAGAAATCTGATGGCAAACTCCCACAGAATTTGGCATGTAGCAGAGTATTTCTTTACTTTTTGTTTCCTCCAAACTTTCTTCCATATGCTAGAATGGCTGGTGCATCTTCACTTCTGGATAGTGAACTTTTCTACTTTTTCTCTTCCTACTCTCACATATCTCCACATTGTGCTCCTAGGACCTCATCTGCATTGCCTGAAACAGCTGGGTCCTAGAAGGCTGAAGGAAAACTAAAGGCTCATGTAACTGTGTTATTGTAGGATTTCTGTTCTTTCTAGATTCTGTCCTGTACTGCACCTTTTTCATCCTCTTCTCAGAGTTAAAATGTCCTTGTTCGTAATTCGCAGTTAAAAAGGTCTCTGAGGTTCCTTTCAAATGAGCTTCCAATGCCTTACTCCAATATACCACCTCTCTTGGCAGCACTAGAACAGATTCTGCAACACACTGCTGGACGCTACTGTGTGGGAGATGAGGTAAGTATCAGAATTATGTATTGTGTAATGTGTCCCAGCACGTTCCAAAGGGAAAGGGAATTAATTGTAGAGGCACAGCACAACCATCTCCTGTGCCTTGTACTATGTGCAGTGTCTATACTATAGGAAAAATAGCTGTATGAATCCTACTTAAGCCAGTACTGACTTACAAATAGCTATTCAGATGTTTACTTGTCCCTGCCTATGAACTGCTGATAGCTAGATCCTGCACTTCTGTCTAAAGTCTGTGAACTGGCTGCCACTAAACAAAGTGGGAACAGGCTAAGTATTTTTGTTTTCCACACATGTACAGATAGAATGAGGAAAGCCAAGGCATAGATGGAGCTGAACTTGGTGAGGGATGTGAAAAATAACAAGAAGGGGTTCTATAGGTACATAGAGGAGGAGACAGACCAAGGAGTGTGTTCCCCCTCTAATAAATGAGAACAGAGAACTGGTTTCCTGAGATGTGGAAAAAGCTGAAGTACTCAATAAGTGCTTTACCCCAGTCTTCACTGGTGATCAGGCTCCCCATGTTTGCCAGGACTCTGAATCTCTAGGTGTGAGTGAGGAGGGTGGATTCCATCCCACTGTAACAGTGGAACAAGTCCAAGACATACTCATGAAACTGAATGTATATAAGTCTATGGGGCCAGATGATATGCATCCCAGGGTGCTGAGATGGCTGATGTGGTTGCCGAGCCACTCTCCATCATATTTGAAAAATCATGGCTGTCAGGTAAAATCCCCAGTGACTGGAAAAAGGGAAGCATTACTCCTATTTTTAAGAAAGGGAGAAAAGATGACCTGGTGAACTACAGTGGACAGGGGAAGGGTGACGGGTGTCATCTACCTGGACTTCTGCAAAGCCTTTGACATGGTCCCTCACCCTGTTTCTCCAAATTGAAAGCTGGACTGTTTGATGGATTAGGAATTGGCTGGCTGGCTGCAGCCAAAAGGTTGTGATCAACACTTCTATGTCAGGATGGAGTCTGGTCACAAGTGGTGTCCCACAGGGGTTGGTCTTGGGACTGGTGCTCTTCAACATCTTCATCAATGACATAGACAATGGCACTGAGTGCACCATCAGCATTCATCCTTTGTGGATGACATGAAGCTGAGTGCAGTCAATACATTGGAAGGAACGGAAGCCATCCAGAGGGACTTGGACAGGCTGGAGAAGTGGGCCCGTGTGAACCTAATGAGGTTCAACAAGGCCAAGTGCAAGGTGTTGCACTTGGGCCAAGGCAATCCAGGTATTTATACAGATTGAGGGAAGATCTTGAGAGCAGCCCTGTGGAGAAGGACTTGGGGGTCCTGGTGGACGAGAAGCTGAACATGAGCCAGCAGTGTGCTCTTGCATCCCAGAAGGCTATCTATATCCTGGGCTGCATTAAAAAAGGGATGACAAGTAGGGAGAGCCTTCTACTTGGCTCTTGTGAGGCCCCATTTGGAGTACTGCATCCAGACCTGGGGCCCCCAGCACAAGAAAGATGCAGAGCTCTTGGAACGGGTCCAGAGGAGGGCCACTAAGATGATCAGAGAGCTGGAGCACCTCTCCTATGAAGAAAGGTTAAAGGAATTGGGATTGTTTAGCTTGGAGAAGAGAAGGCTCTGGGGATGTTGGGGCCTTCCATTACTTGAAGGGAACTTATAAACAGGAGGGGGGAATGGCTGTTTACGAAGGTGGATAATGACGGGACAAGGGGGAATGAGACTGAGACAAGGGAGATTTAGGCTAGGTATTAGGAGGAAGTTTTTCATCAGAGAGTGGTGAGGCACTGGAACAAGTTGCCCAGAGAGACTGTGGATATCCCATCCCTGGAGGCATTCGAGGTCAGGCTGGATGTGGCTCTGGGAAGCCTGGCCTAGTGGTTGGTGACCCTGCCCACTGTGGGAATGGGTGAAACTAGATGATCTTTGAGGTCCTTTCTCAACTCAGGCCATTATATCATTCTATGATGATTCTTTTCACTCTTAATAGATTTAGAGTGTCCCATCTGAGGGGCAAAGTATGGCTCAAGAAATGCACGTTCTGCTCTTAGCTCTGTCCTGTGTAAACTTTAACCAAGTTATATCATTTTGCTCTGTTTCTCCAATTTTAATATGGGCAGACTGCAGAAACAGATTGCATGCAGTTTGTTCTGACCCTTTCCAAGCTAGAGGCATCTCAGACCTCTTCCACTTAGCAGTCCTGTTTGCCAAACAATGACATCTTTCCTATAAAGGGTGGGAAAATATTAGTAATGAGGTCTCACGGTGGAAAGCAATGTGTGCCCTGAAAGGTGCCTACAGTTTCGTGACTTGGGTAATAGGGGAGAAACGGTTGCCTTTTGTGCAGTTAAGCAGCTAACTGTATTATGTGTAAGGAGTGTTTTCAGATTACAAGTCTTTTAGCCTGCATACAAAGGTCTTATCATTCAGCAGTTCCTGATCTTGGTGGGGCTCTTTGATGCTTCTGCAATGCAAACAAGCAAAATTTATACATCCTTTCCCAGCCATGCAACACCTATACCCATCCCCCCAGCTTCTCCCTTTGCAGCTTGCCAGCACTTGTTTGATTACTGGCAGTTGCTTTAGAAGCACTGTGTGCTTGAGGTCACCGTGATCACCTGATAATTACAAAGCTCCCTAAGAGCTGATAGCTTTTGTGCTATTGACTTCTGTAAGGATCCTTTCCTATTACTGTTGTGGCATTATAAATGCTCGCTTAAATAATGGGATTGTTGTGACAACTCCTCTGTTCATCCTAAACCTATCTGTGAAATGATATCAAATACCACCAGCTGAAAAAGTAATACTCTGGTCTCTTTTCTGTGCTCCATTTGCAGGTATCCATGGCTGATCTGTGCTTGGTGCCTCAAGTTGGCAATGCTGAAAGGTAATTAAGTCTAAGCTTGAGGTGTTCTTCAAGAGCACCTAATCCTAAGGTTAGACTGGCAGAACTTAACTTCTGCTTCTCCTTGTGTTAGGAAAGATCCACATCCTGCCCTATCCAATTATAGGTACTTCTCTGCGTGAGTTTGTCATAAGTACTTTGTCTCTTGGAGGTTTCTGGAAATGAGGAGCTGGTCTTTCTTCCCAGATGCCCCTGAAGAAACTTGATCTGTGTCCTTATAGAAAAGCTAAGATTGCCTGCACCCCACATCCTCCCTCCCTTCTTTGCCCCGTATCTACATTGCACAAGGCAGAGAAAAGAATAACCTGACTGTATTTATTGAAAGTCCTAAACCTGTGCTAGTAGTGACTGCAAGATTCCCAAGAAACCTGTACTGCCTTCTTACCATAAGCTGAACACTATGTAAAAACCTAGTGAAAATGGAAGAACTAACTAGCTTTTCCAATAGCATTTATTTTAAAACCTGCAAGAATGAACTTCTCTTAATGTAGATGTGAGATGTGCTGACACTGGGCAGGCATAGAACACTGCTCTGTCCTTCTGCTCACTGGCTGACTGACTCTACCTCACAAATTCTTTTCCTTTTGCAGATACGGTGTGAACTTGGGTCCATATCCTACAATAACTAGAATAAACAAAGCTCTCCTGGAGTTAGAGGCATTCAAAGTAAGCCACCCATCCCGGCAGCCAGACACTCCTGCAGAGCTGCGATCTTGAGGCCCTTCTACCCATTAAATCAAGTAGCTGGAGTGGCGAGGATGACAACAGCTACAGCTCAAGTAGGACTTCAGTGCCAGCAGGAAGCCCTGTACTAACATCTCACTATGTGGGACAGCTGATTTGAAACTCTTCCCTATGTCCAGCAGCAATCTTGCAGAATTAATCAAGATCTGTTCAGAGCAAAGCTATAATCAGAAATATATAACCAACTCACTCCCATATGCTGAAAATTACAGCAGTCTCTTCCTTCTCCCATTCACAGACAATGCCCTGTGCATTTTCCTAGTCCTCAGCTGCAAACTATTTGCTAAAAGAATAAATCTCACATTACATGCCCTCCTTCTATGTCTGAATTTGTTGGTACTTTGACTTTGAGGAACTTTCAAGCTGCAGCAGCAAATTCCATTCTGCTCATCTGAAAAGAAATCAAATGCCTGAGTCATCTTCAGAGCACCTCAGAAATTCCAGCCCTGTAGGTCAAAAAGGGAAACCTGTACGTCAGGAAAGGAAACAAGAAGCCTGTGACTGTGTTCCTGTGCAGGTTTATCTCAGATCCCACTGAAAGTTCTGGCACCCAACCCAGGGATACAATAGGGGATTTCTACCAATCTGATGCTGTGTATCAACTGCCCTAAAAGGGGCAATACCCACAGCATACAGAAAGACACTGCAAATCAGTGATGTCTTGTGCTAAGGTAGCATTCACTTGCTGCATTGCTGGGACTCATTTATTATTGGGACTCATTATTACCCCTCTTTATGTTGGCAAAGAGGGGACAGGCTCATTCTGGTTATTCTGCATTATCCTAGGTCCAGCTGGATCTTCTTTGTGCTGTTGTAAAAGGTCCCTGCACAGTTGGAGCCCCCAAAGACCAGCACCGTGTGCAGGTTATGCTTATTCTTGTTCTCCTTGTCCACATCCATCATGAGAGTCAGATCAAGCAATGCGTGGCCAGCTCGTGGCACAGAGCAGAGGTCATGGTGGATCACTGTGCTCCATGAAAGAGTATCTGAAGTACAAATGTATTATAAATAATGGAGGGGAAAAAGAAAAAAACAAAACAAAACAAACAAACAAAAAACAGAAAAAAAAAAAAAAACCAACAACCACCTACTTTCCTAATGCAAGGAGTGAAACAAACACACCAGACTACACATTCAGAAACACCACTGCAGTTCACTGTCACCAAAAGCTATGGAAATAGGGAGGGAGATTCACTCACCTAGGTGAAAAACAAAGGCATCCTGTAGGGCTCCCTTGGCATTGCAGCCTCCACTGATCAGAACTTTCCAGTCTGAGACAGCCAGAGCTGCATGAAAACTGGGACCAGAGCAAAGGTGGGGTTGCGTCAGCCAGCAATGGGCAGTGGTGAGCAGACTTTCAGGAGCAGACTGGGGGCTTAAACTAGAGAATAGAAGTTAACTTCTCTTCTGCCCTGACTTGCTGAACGACCCTGGAAGAACTGTTAGTTTCTCTCTGCAGGTTGTGACATAAATCAGGCCTGAAAAGCACCTCATTACCTCAGGAGCTAACAGAACTTCTGTGTTTTGCTATATGGAATAGAACAGCGGGAACTTAAGTCACTGGTCTAATGGGAGATAGCATCCCTTCAGATTTCCACTTAGGTACCTAAGTGGTCTGTACTCCTTACAACTTATGAGGACCCGGGCATGGGAATTTCTGGTCTCACAGCAGAGGGGTCACCCACAGTGTTTTGACTAGTGAGACAAAGGTATGCAACTAGGTCTGATCACAAGCGCCTTTTAAACCTGGCTTTACAGAGAAAGAACAGAGGAAGAAAGTGCTTCTAGATCTGCAACAAGATCTTACCAACGTGCAGAAGGCTGTCCTGCGCAGAGTGCAACTGGTGTATATTCCATGAAACCTGACAGCCAGGAAAAAGTTTGATTAATTGTCCAAAAAGCACTGCTAGCAATATTTCTCAACCTCATAATCAGACAAAAACTTCTAAACACTGTCACATCGGCTACCTGTACTTTCTGTTGCCCAGCTTCTTCCAGAAAAGGAATGTCTTGTTTTTCCCCATTACCCGCCCCCTTATATCGCCACTAACCCAGAGTTTTCCATCTCCATTGCCTAGTCAGGATTTTTAGTGTTAATTCTGCCTTTCCATTCTACAGGCCTTATTTCACAGTCCTTGCCTTAAAACAGACCTCCAAAGATGGCACAGATTTTCTTACCCAGATCCAAGATGTGCATGTCACTGAGGTAGAGACAAGACCTCTGACCCCCAAAGATCAGCAGCTTGTTCTTCAGTAGAGTAGCTGAATGTCTGAGAAGAGAAGCAGCAAATGAGCAAAGCATCTTCAGCACGCTCCCTGATGTGTTAGCTTTTGTTCAGCCCGCCTTGGCTTCTATTAATGAGTTGCAATAGCTTCTGTCTGCACCTCTCTCTATCCTCAGCCATTGCAGCCCAAGGACAGAGTCCTGACAGAATATTGCTCAAAACATAGCCTTATCTTAATGGAGGAAATTGTAGAGAAAGTCACCTAATATTTAGGAATCTGCACTGAGGTGAGAGGGAAGGTGAGGTTTCCTGCTCTATTTTGGAGCTCCAGAGCAAGAGCACTCTCACCCAAGCCTAGGCAGAGGCTTTTCCCCTTCTGAGATGGGCTGGTACCAAATTTCATGTTCTGGATTGAAGATATAGAGCATGTTGCTGCAGGGTCCAACTGCCAGCGATCCTGTTTTAGGGAAAGCCCCTCCAAAAACAAAGAGCTCTTTGCGATAGATAGTTGCACTGTGGTAGGTCAGCGATGGCATTCTTCCTTTAGCCTAGGAACACAATATCTGTTATAAGAAGTTTGTTATTTGCTGCATGACCCATAAGAAAGGGTTTCACATCATGCCATGAGTTCATCAAGTTTCGATTTTCATTTTATTGGCTCCCTCATCAGATCTTTGCCATTCAGGCAGACAGTAAATCCTTTCCATACTCTGCACCACCAGAATGCTCTGATGAGAGTAGGAAGTTAACCTCTCACTCCAGCTGTCACAAAACAAGACAGGGAACAGAAAGATCTCATCCCAGTTTTATTCTATGACAGCAGTCTTCTGCTTTAGCCAGGAAAGAGACAGTCCTTAGCTGACAGGGCCTGCCTGCTTCAAGAATAGGACCCATAATCCAAAGAGCTAACAGACCTGCCATGCTCAGAGCAGCCCTCTGACTTCAAAAGACCAGTTCCTCAGCATCCAATGTAGCTCTCAACAACACCATGCAGAATGAGATGTCATTTCCATTTGCTACTTGTGCAGTACCTCCCACCCACCACTCTGATCAGACACAGCACTCTTGGAGCAACAAGTTTTTTCTACATAGTTTCATTCACTTTAGGCATCCCCTCTGTTTTCTGCCAAGCTTATGGCCCTTCAGTATAGTTGGGTTTGACAGATTCAAGAAGGTTAAGCAGCTCAGGCAACCTGCAGCAACAACAGACCAAGACTTTTGCAGTACGGACATCAGTACATCAATTGCTACATTCAGGCAGGACCTGCCACATTTTATGTGCTTTTATTTTAGAAGAGCTGCAGTACTTACAGCCACAAGAAGCCATTTCCAGGTGACTGTGTCCAGAATGTAGATGCCACTATAGTCTTTGTCCTTCCTAATGCCCCCAAAAATGTAGATACGCTTGGTGTCTGGGTCATAGGTAGCTGTGTGACCACGTAAGCATGATGGCATAGCATTTTGTTGCTGGAGACTCACTGGAAACCAAAAATCACTGTCTGTAGGAACAACACCAGGCAGATGGTAGGTAAGTGAGTTTAAAATGGGGACATCACTGCACCATAAGCACAGATCTTAATTACAGGTTCTTTGTTCCCTTTCTCCTGTCTGCTTTTCCAGAGCAACATAATCTCTTTACCAAAGTGCAAGCTTCCTGACAGGCAAAGCACAGCAGCAGGCAGCATGAAAATTCTGGTGTGCATCCTGCAGTTACCTTCCCAGCACACTGGGAAATTGCCTGGAGTGACACCAGCAATTCCACTTCCCAGAACTGACAGTGACTGTGTTAGGTGTTGCGACCCCTCTGCTCTTCCCTCCCCAAGCACAGACCCCAGAGGATATTCTTCCACCCAATTCATCCTTTATTCCCACCCACCCCATTGCCTTTGACATCCTTAAACTCCTCACCAATTTCCAGTTTCCAAAGAGCATCCTTGCAGACCTGCTGATCAGCCCCTTCTCCACCAACCAGAACAGCCGTTCTCAGATCGCTGAGGCACATGGCATGGCACCACCGTGGGCTGGGGCTGCCTGGGGAGGGGAGAGCACAGTGCTGGGAGCAGTCAGAAACACTCCTCAGTTCCCTTAACTGGAGAGAATAAGGCAACTGAGGGCTCAGAGGGAGGGAAATGGGAAAGCAAAGACTGCAGGTCTCTTATCATTGGAGTGGCAAAGAACACAGCTCCCTGTGCATGATTTTCTGTTGGCTTTGGGGGAAAAGTACTGTATTAGGAGTGTCATCATGAGAAGGAGTCAGCAGAGAGGTCTCTGGCTGGATTTAGGATGCATACAGCTGCCACTTCAGAGACAGCCAGGCAGAGGCAAGCCTGGATCCCATCGAGTACCTATTCCCAGAAAGAAATCCCAGTTGTGTTCTCTGCTTGCATTACTGCTTGTGAGAACATGGGGGAGGGCTACCAATAAGAGCTTGTCAATGCCTAAGACATACCAACCCAAAACCTTGAGCTGCTTTCAGAGATATTCCTTCTACTGCCCTGTTCCTCCTCTTTTCCCATCCCAACCCCTGCATTTGGCTGAGCAAGCTAAAAAATCCTTTTTATCAAAGCTCATTCCACATCTTATACTTTGTCTCAAATGGTTACACACCCAGAAGCATTCCTGAGATTCAAAGGGGTTACAGAAGCACATTAGAGACCTGACAGTACAATTGCACGCAATATATACAGAACACATGCTGTTCTGTATATTCCTGATCTCTGGGGAGGTAAGGATCAAACACAAGCAGCCTGTGATGTCAAAGGGAATGGCATCACCGGCTGGGTGAAAAGACAAACCAGAGTCTAGAAGCCAGATCTTCACCTTGCAACTCCTCCACTGCCAGATCTGCAGAAGAAACACAAAGATAGCCCCGTAAAGAAAGCAGCCAGCAGACATACCTTGGGAAATGCTCAGCTCTGTGGTGTAAGAAACCTCCGGCCTTCTTTCCTCAGTCCCCCAGCTCAAAGCTACCTGATAGCAACCAATCAGTTGCAAGACCAAGAATCATGAAGAAAGTCTCATCAGAAGCAATGCAGAAGACAGATAAGAGCACACCTCCTCTGACTGCTATCATGCCATTGCATTCTACATTGCTGATGAAGACCTCATTCTACCCTACTACATTTGTCTTTGTGAGAAGCAAGTCCCAGTAAATGATTTCACATGGTGACCTCTGAGCTACTGTCAAATATTTACACACACGCTTGGTCACATCTTGGAGCTGACTTGAAATTCACACTCCAGAAGCTAAAGGTTTAATTCCTAAAACCCTTGGCAGCTTCCTCCTCACTACTGAAAATTCAGTACAATTATACTACTTATATTTATATACATTTCTTCTTTTATCCTCCATACTTTAATAATAAACAATGTCTTTCTATGGACCAAGTGTTATGCTGATGGTAGGGGAACAGACAGTCTAATGGAGAGATTATAGAATATAGTGGTAGGTTACTTTTTTCTGCCTCCATTTACTCTTTTGTAAGACAAGGCTAATGGTGCATGCCCTCATTTACAACACTTTTACTCATATGAAGTGATAAAGCACATAATGTTACAGTACAGAGTATTGGCACTAAAGAATACATCGTGTTCTATATCGTTTTCCCAATGGACAAAAACTGCTCAAGCAGTTTATCCAGGGCTAAGAAGCAGTCCTCAGTACTTTGCCAGCCACAGACAAGCCTAACCCTATCTTGGAGGCACACCAAGAAATGAACTGGAATCTGTTGCCATCAGCAGTGAGATACAGTGCAGATAAGACCCATAAATAAACCCGGAAGCTGACAGAGTTACCTTCTACATCGAGCTCTCTCTCAGACGCTCTGGGTTCAAATAAAATTTTCCTGGGTTTTTTGGGGCAGACAGGACTCTCCCTCCAAGCGTCCCTGGGTTGTATCCCACGAGGTGGTAGCTTCGGGGCACAGGGTACCACTAGGCTCCTTAGCGATGTGTGGAAGTCCTTCCTAGCAGGCCAGGAAGCTCTTGCAGTCATCTCAGAACTCTGACCCTTAACCTGTGACAAGAGCTCTAGTCAAAGCAGTTATGAAGAGAAAGACTTGAGGCTACTGCAAATTTATCTATAACAGGGACAGAGACAAGTTTGATGCAGTGGCTGTTTTCAGGCTTACTTTCCTATTTAGTCTTCAGGGTCAGCATGCCAACAACATCAGCTGCCAAACACGTACCAAGCCATGCAGACACCCTCTGCCATGTGCCCAGCCAGTGGCCTGCTTTCACTACTGGCTGCCACAGGCAAGCTTGTACAGAGGCCACCAGAGAGGCAGAGGGGCATCGGTGCCAGTAACCAAGTGGATTAGTGATCCCATCAGGCACAGTTAAATTCAACCCCTTTAAAGATATTATCCAACTTCTGTAGCATAAATGAACCTTTGACTCCAAAACCTGCTTAGTCAGGTATTCTCTATGATAAAGGCAGCATGTGCTGCTGCTAGATACAAGCTGAGCAGTTTCAGGTGACAGAGCAAATACCAAGGAGGAGTGAACTGATGAAAGGAAGGACCCAGTGCACACTTACAGCAGAAGGATCCTCCAGGTCCTGATCAAGGGGCCCATCGTCAGCAGGAAGCACTGGGGACTGGGTGGTCTCTGGGACCAGAAATGAGTGAGCAGGCGTACTGCTGGAGACTCCATGGAGCAGCTGGGACAAGAGCAACAATGTGTGGTGTTAGAACAAAAGTCCATGCAAGCTGTCAGCCACAGAAGATGAGCATAAATATGTACTGCAAGGGACAGGTTCCCTGCAAGGGAATAGCCCAAATCTTTCTGAGGTAATCCAACAAAATTAAAAAAAATGTCAGACCAGACATGTTAACAGACCTATGCAATGTGGTCCTGCCTTGAAGAAGCAAAGAGAAGAAACACAAGAGAATGAAAAAGGAAGTTTAAAGTTCAGAGCTGTCAGAGATGAAGTGGTTTGGAATCCAGGACAGGAAGAGGGATTATTGCTTCTTTCACCTGTCCATGGACAGTCAGGACAAGCTTCACAGGGTTGCCTTCATGCGTTTCTTTCAACGAGGCCATGAAAACATCTGTTCTCCAGTCTCCTTCCCACACCAGAGACCTGCACAAAGCATCATGGGTTTTCAGCCCACAGCTAGCATCAACCTTCGAGGAATTCTTGCTCCTAAACTTGCTGGTAGCACTTCAAAGCCAAAAAATAAGAACTCTGAAAGCAGCTGAAAGTTGGAAACATCACAGGAAACTCTAGAAAGTAGCTTTTGTTTGGGTGTATAAATGTAACTTCATGAAACAGAGCAGGACAGGAGCTGTCTATTATTCTCTTTCACACTACGGCCAACAGCATGTGAGACAGCTCTGGAGAACTAACACAATCTGTAAGAGGTAAAGGGGTGTTCTTATCCAAATAACCATCATACTAGACAGTTAAGACTTCCTACTCTAAACAGATTCTTCCACGGGATCTGTGATAGTTGTAGTGTAAACAACGTGCCTGCGGCTTTTGGTTATGCTCTTGCTACATTCACCCTTCCCAGAGCCATCCCAGGAGGCTTTGGTCTCCTCCATATAAAGCCTCGAAAGAAAGGGAAAAGCAGGGCCAAGCACAGGGCAGCCCAGCAACACCCAGCAGCGCCCTGTCACAGCGCTACCTGCAGGCAGGCCCCAGCGTGCCGAGCCGCTGCACCCCGACGCCCGGTGCCACCAACACGTCCGCTGTGATGCTGGTGTCTGGGGAGTAGCAGCTCCAGTCCCCCAGGCTGAACACCACCAGCTGCCTGGGCAGCGGCAGGGGCAGCCAGCCCTGGAAACCCATCTTGCTGGATTGGCTGGGAGGGAGAGCAAACAAGAAAACGTACAATCAGAGAAGTACCAGGAACGCTCAAAAATATACCAAGGAAGCATAGAAAGTGAGGGCTTGTTTTGCTCAAGAGCGTTTCGCACGGGGATGCGACGAAGGAAAGCGCTGCTGTCCGCAGAAAGGAGAGCTGCCACACGCCTAAGGCCGCACCGCGTCCACCCGGCCCAAAAGGGAACCCCGCCCGCGGCCGGCCCGGCGCCGCCGCCCTTTCTCTGCCCGGGGCGGCGGCCGCCCGTGGAGGGGCAGCGCCGGGCCGCACCTGCTCAGCCGCCGCGGCGGCTCCCGCAGCGTCCATAGCACGTAGAAGGCGAGGTCGTCGTCCCGGGCGGCGCCGCCCGCTCCCAGCTCACCCCGGGCAGCGGGGCCGTGGCAGGCGGGCAGCATGGCTGGAGAGAGTCAAAAAAAAGCGGCCGTGGCTGGCCGCTAGAGAGGTGCCGGAGGGCGGCGCAGCTGTGGGCGGCCGCCGGGCATCAACCGCCCCCAACCACCTCCTCGCTGCGAGGACCGAGAGGATCGCGTGGCCCGTACGCGGAGGGAGCGTCCGAGGCGACCCCGCGAGCCGCACCGACGCCAGTGACGGCGCTTCGGCGGCCGAGGGAACCGCGCTCCATACGTGCGGCTGGAAGGCGTCCTCCTGCGCAGGGCCAGCACAGCCCGCTGCCGAAGAACGGGTCCGTCCTGTGCTGCAGCTCAACCACTAAAGTTACAGAAAGACTGGAATTACGTTGTGAAACGTCACATCGCTTCCCTGCTTCCCAAAAGTTGTTTAATTGTGCTCTTGGCCACACGCCTGAGCCAGGGCAGACGGCAGAGATTCATAGTGAGCTAATGGCAATCAAATACTGAAGTGCTGTTTCTTTTCCGTGCTCCTCAACAGAGACAGTGTCCTTAACTTGGCAGAGTTATGTATCCCTTTGATCAACTCTGTATGATCACTGCTGCCCATCAGTTATTTTGCAGAAATGCTCCAGGCAAACACAAGACAAGAAACAACTGAACTCATGCAGCACCTGCCGCAGCACCTGCCCTACTGGGTTTTCAAACAACGAATGAGAAAGCATCCACAGCTTCAGCCATCCTAGTTCTCATTTTGACCAAGAAGCACTCTCTGAAGATGCTTCCTCTAGGCTACATAAATCCAGACTTTATAGTTGCTGGGCCATCGACTTCATCTTGCTATGAGGAAATTGCAAAAGAAACACTTTGTTGTAGATAATTTCATCAGTATCTGGTAACTGAAAAGATGTTCTGAATCCTTCAAATTGAAAGCTTTAGTAACAGAATACTTGCTAAAAGTGATCTCTGCAAACTGAGCTGAAGAGCGCCAGTATGAAGCAATGAATGGTAGACCATTCAAATTCTTTCTGGGCCAGTTCTTGAGCCTGGCTACCTGCTTGTTTCTCTCCAGGTCTTCAAATACTCAGCACGAGTCCAAATGTTGCAGATAATTTGAAGAGTAAAAAATAAAAATTGCCACAAGTCATTTTAACAGAGAAATTCCTAGCTGGAGCAGCGATCACTGGCTGACAGTGCATTTTCCTATGCATTTGCAACCAAAGTGTCCACTATATTGCAAAGTACATTTGGAATAGTTGCTACTTTGTTGCTTATAAAAATAAGTTTCATTGTATTCATGTTTCTTTCGGTAAGCCTGTATTTCACTTTCTTTTGTTAATACACTCTTTAAAGCAGAAGACAAATGTTGTGATTGCATAGTGAAAAGTTTATTTAAAGGGAATAACTTTCAATATAATATTACAAATCAGCCACAACACATTGAATATAAACAATACAAACCAAGCCTAGAAGGAAAGCAAACACTATAAATATTCACATGTGCCCTTCAGCAAAAGATTTGGTGCCACATCTTGTTGAAGTAACCTCCTAACCTCCCTTTAAAAGTAATTTCTTCAGAGGAGATGAAAAGCAATGGGTTGGTACAGACAAATGAATTTCAATGTACAGGACAACAAATATATTCACACCACATAAATAAAGACTTAGAGACAGCTGTCACAGTTTACAAGAATATATGTCTGGAAAAAAAAAAGGATGTGACCACCTGCAAGATACTCTCCACTGAAAGACTATGCTAGCAGCTTGGAGCAGGGACTTGAGAGCAGATTGCTTCACTCTGAGGAGAGCAGTTAGTCACTCAGGCATTCAGGAAGTTACAGGGAGATCATCTCCAACTATTGAGTTTCCAAGAACAGCTTCTAAACTTAAAAGTCAGGTAAAGCCTCTTTAGCTCTGAGCTTAATGGTTGGCATCCAGCTTCATGCCTAAGAGACTTCACTCACCAGTCCAGATGGGCTTAAAACCAGATAATCCTTACTGTCAAACCATAGATCCATCCATTCAGCCTGATGTTCTGTCTTCAGCTGCAACAGCATGAGTGTTTCAGAATAAAATGCCAGAGACTCTTTGGAGGCAAATGTGGAATAGCTGCACAAGAAATTCTCCACCTAGCAAGATGTGTTTGGCCACTGCCATTTGACGTTCACTCTAAAACTTCAGTTAGTGTTTACTAACTTGTTTAGACAAGTGACTTCACACTTGGACTCCTGATAAACTTGTGGCTTCTAATTACAATTAAATTAATCAGAATTAAATTAAGCCTAATTTGCTTATGTATTTAACAAGATCAGTTCACAGTTTTCCCTTCTTCCAATTCAGATATTTCATTATTATCTCCAGGTACAAGAAATGGAGAAAGCCATTTCTCTCTCACTTGCAGATCAAAACCACCTTTGTTGCTTTGGTCTCTCATCCAATCTCAGTGAGCTCGCAACTCAACACTGGACTCACTTTGGTAAAATGATGAATGGCCATGAGGAATGCTATTTATGTCTGTCTGCTGTTTCTCTAGCCCTCAGGCTTACCATCAGAATATCAGAAGTGGTCATCCTTTGGTGTTCCGGAATATTTTGCAGCAGCTTATGATTTCTTTCCAAAGGCAAAGATCCTGTGCTGCCAGGAAACTCTAACAATTCTAGTACTCATCTTACAGCAACAAGGCAGGCTAATGAACAGCTTAAATCCCTAGGACAGCCAACCAGCTTGATCTTAGTGCCTCCTCCCTACTCAAACAGGCAGAGAAACAAAGAGAAGAAAACCCTTGGATTAATGACATCTGTGGCTCTTACTTCAGACATGCTCCTTGCTCCTAAGGCACCTTGTGATAAATCCTCCACAAAGCATACTAGGGGGTAGTGAGACAAGAAGGGTGTAAGCAGTAGGGACAAAGTGAACTCATTTAGAGATTAATTCTCTACCCCCAGTTTCCAGCTCACAAGAACAAGTACCTCTTTCAGCAACTAGGCACGTGACAAAGGTCACCTCCAATCTACCCCACCACGTCCAGCAGCACAACTGACCCCACTGCAGGCCATACATGGCTATATGCACACAGTTACAAGGAGACAGTCCACAGGATAGGACTAAAAAGAAAGGAATCTGGCAACCTTTCAGACTGTTGCACAGTAACTCAACTTTTGTCTTAGTACCTCAAGTCAGTCAGTTAAGCTCCTTCTCTCCTTAAGCACACATTTTCATCTTACTGTTCATGTAAGTGGCTCAGTGGTAGTATTAACGTACATAACTACTAAATGAGTCCCAAATATTACTTTGAGAATAGCCTATATCTGACACCAATAACCTTTAACATGGGCCTCCAGAGTTGGTTAGCAAATTAAATCAGTACAAGCGGTGCCTGACTTAAGCAATTTTAACTCTCAGTCCTCAGTGAAACACATACACTTCCAACTCCTGCTGCTACACTACTGCTAAGGGAGAAGAGTAAGATAAAGCAATGGACAGCTTATTACCTGATTTGACATTAAAAAATACCCAACAGATTTTACCATTATTATGAAAAGACAATTATACAACCTAATTTTTATGCAAATTCTATGCAACAGGACTGTTTTATGTCTCTAAGTCATACTTAAAACAAACTGGAAAACAATTCTGTGCTTTTACAAAAGCAAAAAAAAAACAAAAAAACAAAAAAAACAACTTTGCAAAATGTAGAAACAACTTATTCCTTAATCGAGCTTTTTGAATTTTTTAGGTACAACCTACTGGAGGAAGAAAAACACTTTTAAAACTGATCTAAAAATCTTCCTTCTGGAAAAAAATGGGATATTTTCCCTTTCCCTCTCTGAAGTGAAAATGCCTTTTAAATTAATTTTTCTTTTTAAACCCAATATCTAGTTCCACAAGCTCACAATTAGAGCAAGAAGGGCTTCCATCACTGCCTCAGCAGACAGCAGGATCAGATACAAGTCCAGGATACACAGATAACAGAAAAAAGGACACAAGAAATAAGATTACTTCTTTGAACCAACTACGAGTTAAATTTTGAATGCAAGTGGCCACTGTTAATCACTAGCCACGCATCCAAGCTAGGGGATTTATCAGAGAATGAATAAAGACTACAGATCCTTCCTAAAAGAAGTTGTCACTTAGATAATGAATGATACTTTAACACCTGAGAAATACTTATGTGATGTGAAAGTTAAAGAATAAACAAAGGGTAATTATCCTGTACAACTGTAAAGCTTCTGTTTCCTGAAGATGAAATATTCTATGCCAAAAACTGTTTTGTGTTTGTAAGAGATACCACATGCTTCCGGGAAGCATAAGTAGTGAAATAATACACGCTAGATACTTTCAGTTCCACCACAGAAAGTCTGTTTATGGCATTGTGTTTTTGCAGGACAGGCACATACAGACTGGGATAACATGTCAGATTCAATGTTTCTGTTAAGCTTAAGTCAATGAGACTAAGAGTTGGGGACAGTCCCACATGACCTAAGCCTCATTAAAAAGTTGGTCCACATTTCAGGAAGCTGGAACTGAGCAATAGGATCATCATTTACAAGACAGCTTATCTTCACTAAAACCACTAACAAGTTACCTTGATAACTTGCACATACTATTTGTTTCAATAAGCAACCAGAACTGGTAGTCAAGCAGGCCTTTTTCACATCTTACAAGATTAAAATACGTATTTTGAATGAGGATATGATCAAAATACAGACAGTGAAAGGGGAAGTGGCTGTGAATTAGCAATAGGAAGGCCACATTAAGGAGAAACATTTATATAGTGGCGATAACAGTATCCCACAGTACGCTGTGAAACTGAAGATCAGGATAAGTTTTCTACAATTGCTATGCATAGGTCAAAATTCCCTTTAACATAAATAAATCCCAATTTGAAATTGGATCAGGTGCCACACAGTGTCTCATACATTAACCAGCAGGTGCACACAGGGCCCTGCAGATTATAGCAGAAAGGACCAATGGCAGTAATTGCATTGGGCAGCACTGACATTTTTGGTCAATGAAAAGTCACCTTCTTATTGTCAAAGAACTTCATGGGCAAAGGGTAAAAAAGAAAAGAAAAAAAAAGGGAGGGGGGAGATGAAAACCCTATGCAAGTTGGTCAGGCCTGATTCAAATGCTGTACAAAGACTACAAGATGGTCTTTCATCTCCCCAGGAGGGGAAAAAGGAAGAAATAATATTCCCCAGGCTGCTAAACTAAAGATCACTTTACTGTGACAGATACCAAGTCTTACTGTTCTACTTCCCTGTAAGGCTGCCTTATGTTTCCCTCTGCTTGAGGGACAGCTTTGCAGTTCCCCTGTGGTCAGGCCTTCTCTCCTTTGAGAAAGGCTTCCAACTCAGGGCCCAGAATAGCACCAGCTCACTCCTTACCCTGGCCAACTCTGCTTCCTGTCTGCTCACAGGAAAGGAGCAACCAGTTTTCTGGTTTTTCTTCTTCCTGCTCCAAGCTTGGGCTGCTCCACTACAAACATCTGTCTCTCACACACCTTTTTGACCTACTAAGCGCTCTGGGGCAGTGAATAAGTAATCACAGATAGCTAGAAGAAGAGCTTGAACATAAAGAAAATTCCACAGCACTACAATATAGCTGCAAGAGGAAATACACAGCCTTCCTAGGACAGTAAAATCTTTGGCTTTAACTACCCCAAAATCATTTTTTTCATCAATCCCTCTCAATAAAGGGAATGTACCAAATAGAGGTGCCTTACCTGGAGGATTTAAAAATTAAAACTCAGAGTTCTACTAGCATCACCATGCAAAAAGCCATTCTGTGTCTCT